GTTTTTGTCCTCACCCCCCCCCCAAAGAAAAACCTCCCAACCTCACTAACTAACCCAGACAGACAAAAGGGCCGGCAATAATTTTTTAACATGTATCTAAGTGAAACTAAATTTTTGAAATATAGATTAATGATGTCCTTTCCTGAATGACCTTATTTTGTCTCAAGAAGGAGAAGAGTCTTATACAAGGTCTTTAGCATGTATCAAAGAACAAACAATACGTAGAAGTCGGAATTGAAGAAAGAAGAGAGGAGGAGAAGAATTAACTGTACTTGACATTCGTAACTCAAGAATAAACATAAGCATGTTTGATAAAGGGCAAACACATTAGAATTTCAAACACAGAGCAAACAGACAAATAAATGGGCAGACAGAGAAAAAAACAGAACTTTCAACACAAGAAACTACCTGTTTTTATTCGAACCAAGAAAGGATTTTTCAAGGAGAGACGGACAATTTTTTTAAATTTTAATGGGTTCTGTTTTTGTTTGTGGCCACTTTGCTCATTTGTTGTGGTAATATTTGTTATGCCCAAATACATCTGAGGAATAGTATGGATGTCTGCTTCCTAAGCGTGGCAGACATGTAGATTCAAGTCTAGTTATTAAGCGATTGAAATATACCCATCTTTATAAGAAGAACTTCGTCCTGGTCTGGTGTGCGATAACATTTCTTGGTAGTAGGCGAACTGTAACAATATTGCAAACCAGATGTTTTGTTTGGTACATTATTCTGATGGAAGCAAGCGCGTCTGTCTTCAAAGCGTAGAAAGATATTGCGTACACATACAGTGTGCATTTAGAAAGCTAGTTCAACCAAAATTTAGCTAGATACTGGAGACTAAAAGATAGGCACACGGTATGAAAGGTAGAGAGATACGTACATAGATAAATAAATATTATATTTTGTGCTTACACACAAACACACCCGCACACACACACACACATACTCATACGCACACACAAACAAACACACAAACACCCACACATCACACACACACACACACACACACACACACACACACACACTCACACACATACTCATACACGGACACATACTAACACACGAGTACATAATATATTGCTATACTGAAACACATACCCCACACTTGAATACAATTATGAATCTAAACAACATTACAGATATTTTCCATGTCATTTCATGTGTTTTGTTCGTCAGTTAAAAAACGTGTCAGGTCATCTTTTTTCTTTTCAGTCTGGCAACGGAGTAACCCACACGAACAACTCTGTGAAGTCCTCGGTGGAGTTCAACTGGGAAGCTCCGGACACCTCTGTGGGACCCATCGTGTTCCAGTAAGTAGATCTTTGATATTGTGCTGTTCCTCATGGTAGCTTGGATAGTTTTCCCACGATTCGTTTGCTTGTTTGTTACTTTGTTTGATTAGATTCAAAGAGATGTACATACATAGGATTAATGGCAAGAGAGCGAGAGAGAGAGAGAGAGAGAGAGAGAGAGAGAGAGAGAGAGAGGGTGTGGGAGTGGACGATGTTTTGGCTTTTGAAGATGGTCAGCGCTCTTTCAGGAAAAAGATTGTAGATCGATGGAAAGGCTGATCATCTGGTACATTATTGGGAAACTTTCCTGAAAGGAAAATGCTTTTTATAAGCTACCAATAAACTGCTGGGGATGCTGAATTTGGAATTAATTAAGAGAACCACGGTCATTTAGTGCAGGGAAAAAAGCAAAAATGAGAGGCAGAAGTAGGAGAAGGAAAGAAAAGGAGTAAGACCTAGCAGCTGTGCTTTCCAAAAGCCAACATGCTGGGCTTATAGAGATCTCGAATACGTCATTGCATCTTTTATCTTTTCCCTCACTCTATGGTGTAATAAATATTTCTATTTCCATCAGCTACACTGTCGTTCGAGGAGGAGCCCCGAACACGACCGTGAACCCCGCTGATTACTTCATGAACGTCGTATCCGCTCCACTTAACCCTGCTACCACCCTGTTGAGATTCACCTCGGTAAGACAGACTGCACACGCATTCGATTTCGCCGAATATGTATATTGGGGGTATTGGGGACGGCTCCTCCGGATACATGTCTTTTAAATTATGTCTTGGACTTGACCCTAGGGAATAAAATGAAGTTGGATTTTTCCTTGTTCCATCATCATCATCATCATCATCATCATCATCATCATCATCATCATCATCATCATCATCATCATCATCATCATCATCATCATCATCATCATCATCATCATTGTCTGAAAGTTCAGTGCACAATATATGCACACACACACACACACACACACACACACACACACACACACACACACACACACACACACACACACACACACACACGCACGCACGCACACACACACACACACATATTTTTTTCAAAGAGGGAGGTGGGGGGGGGGGATGCTGACATGACATTTACCAAACTGTTCTGATTTTGGTTTGTTTGTTTTTTGTTCTTACTTTTTAGGGCTTCGTGATCATTAAAGTAAACCATGAGCTGGTATTGCTCTCGGACTCTCCGAACACTGTAAATCCTATTTTCACTTTCTCTTTCCGAGAATTAAAAAAAAGTGTTAGGGTAACATCGTTATTGATAATATAGCCATTGCGAAAGGTGACAATAGATAACGGTGTTAATTATCACGAAACTAAACAAGTACACCTTAGACTGCACTATTTCAATGTTTTATTCATGAACACTGATAATAAAACGTATTTCTACGAGCCAGTATGCATTTTACATTTAATGAAAAATTAGTACCTACTGAAGCACTCAAGTAATATAACCTAGCCTATAAGATCTTTACTCCTCTTTGTGTTTCAGGAAATGGAAGCACAGGACAGGGGCAATGGCGTTCGTGTCATGGAAGTCTCCGAGCAACTGTCATTGAGAGAGATCCTTCTCCGCAAACATTTCAACTAAAATCTTAAACTCACCTTTCTTGCCGCTACAATATTTAATCTTTTTTTTTTTTTTAAATCAGCGTGGCATTTCAGTTGTTTTTATACACGTTTTAAAGATCCTTGCAGCGTAGCTGAACTATGGGTCCTTTTTCTGCAGAGTTCCAAACGATGTACCGGATGAGCAGCCTTTCAAATGTTCCATATTTTTTTCTTGAAAGAGCGCTGGTTGTCTTTAAATAAATCTTGTTCAGCACCCTTTTTCCCAATATATCAGGGATGTTTTTTATATAGAGCAATATTTTCGAAACCTGAGTAACAAACAGGTTTTACTCTTTCACTCTAAACGGTTAATGCTCAATAAATTACACAGACTGATCTATATTGCCTTCTTGTGGTATTCTTTTTTGTGTTTTTGTTGTTTTTGTTCCGTTGTTGTTTTTTTCTTGGTAATTCTTTATTTATGATTTTAAATGTGTGATGCCGTTGGTTAAAGATATATCAAACACCACACTGATATTCGAGGTGAGAATTGTAGATAGCATTGGATTTTCGTGTCCATCCAAAATATTGTGTACAAGCTCTCAGACAATGCTCTCCACGGAAATGAGGTTGTTTTTTGAGGATGGGATTGGGGAGGGGAGGGGGAGGGTTGTCCTCGAAAAGACACTCTTGTTTATGAATTCCTCCGTAAAAATACGACAAAACACGAAAAAAAGATAAGTATGGCTGATTACACAAATAGTGGAATAACAAACAGAAAAAGGTAAAATAAGAATCAACTATAACCAACAGAAATACGATTAATGGTTCCTTACGAGGCTGTTGAGAATAATGTTTATAGAGGAATTAAAAAAATAATATAATGTTGCCGTGAGAGAAGACAGCTTGGCGCGTTCACCAAGATCCTCCAATCGACATAAAGACATAGAACATTTTTCTATTACTGGGAAAATAGAAAGCAAAAAAGGCTGATTTAGACAAAAAGAACAAATTAAATTACTCATAAAATGTGAACAGATAGCTGATGGTAAAATCTCACTCAGGATAACAATAGTTGAGTCTTTTTGTTTAGAACATTCAAGCAGAGAAATGAGTTCCATCAGATCCCTTACTTTTAAGGAGAAGTATAATGTTTGGGAGTCAATCTTTTTTTTAGAACACCGAAACGTAGACCAACACATGTAAGTGCAAGTCTGATTTAATATGTGTGTAATAAAATCAAATATCAGTAACTCCACAATTGAAATATACTACATTACTAGTATACTGTAAACATTTATTTTAAATATTTCGTTACTGAAGCTGCCAGCTTAGAGTATAAGAAAGAATCGTTTTATTCAAAGCCTTTAAGGAAGGTACGGTTCTCTTTCCTTTTTTAAATTGCAATTTAGGAGTAATCGGTACATCAACAAATTTGGACAGAAGGCTGGACGCGTAACGTTACATTTACGATAAGATAAGATAAGATAAGATCTCCACAAACATAAAGTTGCTGCAAAGTGGTAAATACATAATTTTATACCCACACCCACTTGTAAACACACACACGCACACACACAAACTCTCTCACACACACACACACACACACACACAAACACACACACACACAAACATACACACACATTCACACACGCACGCACGCATACATAACACTTATACACACATACACACAAACACACTGTTACACACACATACGCACACACACACACACACACACACACACACACACACACACACACACTCACAGACAGACACACACACAAACAAACACTGTCAAACACACACACACACACACACACACACACACACACACACACACACACACACACACATTCCCACAAACGCGCGTTCCCTCGCCTCATGCTAAATTATCAAGGGAGAGCATTTGTATTCATAAACATCCATGCTTCTTGCTTTGATTATGTACCTTGAAGATGAAAATTACTCAGATGTCGCCACCAAAAAGGCATCGAATGGTAGCTATAGGTATTTACGGTCTCCGGCAATAGCTGTAACTGCTCCAAACAACTCAAATAACACTGTTTGAAAAGGTCTACATTAACTCGTCAATAGAACTCATGGCACACCGACAATTTAGCCTCATTACAGAACAGAGAGTTCAAACAAAGCTTTTAGGATTTGAGTGGGTGGTTGGTTGGTGATCAAGTGTGGTTCGCTACTTCTTTCCTATCAAACATCTGTCATCCTTATCTCCCCTCCTTCTTCTCTTTGCATGTTACTCTCTAGTAACACCTCTAATCTCCGGCACGTGGTCTACATTTGAAACACAAACGAGTAGTAAGTGCCGAAAAACTCGTACTAAAACTGCTGAAAATATGACTTTTCGCAACACTTGTGTCCCTCGTAAATTAATATATATAGACTGTACAATGAAATTCTGTTCGTTAAAGCTCAAGGTGTTAAAACGATCAGAAGTGTTGATTTTCTACATTTCATCACCTAGGTCTACTTTGAAAGAAAAGCTGATATGAGACGACTACTAATACATTTTTTTTTAGAGCTTTATGTTTTGTTTTTGTTTTTGTTTTTGTTTTTAAAGATACATTTTCTACATATCAAACTTTGACTTTTAAGTCATCACCTACAAGATATCAGAGGTTCTTCAGCCTGCAGCGCAACTGATTTTAACTATATGACCGTTTTTCCTACTAAGTAGGGCCCCTTGCCTCCAGGCAGTCGCAGTCCGATTTCGAAGGTATTATGTTTGTTTTTAAACTAAAAAGAGTATTTTCAATTTTGGTTGAAATAAATTTTGATTTTTGTCTGGATGGTGGCCAAAGTCTAATCTTATCGATATTTGGACTACCTAGCGTGTGCAACTTGTATACGGAACCTTCAAGATTGTTCGCTCGAGATGGCTAGGAGTCGGAAAGTATCTATCCTAAGATCAGGGGTGCGGCTGAAAGAAAGCAGTTAGAAGGAGCCAGGAGTAGCAATAGAAAAGTAAGGGGTAAATGAGAGAGGAGCCCAGAGGAGTAGAAAGGGGGGGGGGGGTGGAAGCAGATGACAGAACATGCCTATCAATTTTGTCGCTGTCAAATTTCGAACCCGGGAACAGTTGAATGAGAGGCGAACTCCTCTAGATCACGAGAGCACCCATTAAGAATATTGCTACTTCGTGGAATGTGAAATGTTGCCCTAGGGCTTCAGCTTTTATGGACTAGACCCACCAGTCGGTCTTCAATATTCTTCAACTCAGCCACTCTGGGGGTTGAAGATGCTCTCGGCCAGTCACTGGCAACAACGGCGGACTCCGCGCTTACAGTCAAGGGCGGCCCAGCGTCCCTGTTCCTGTGAGACACGCCCACAACATGGACACCCTCTCCTGCAGTGAGGCAGTCCTTCGCCGCTGATTTCTTATCCTGCCGGGGCGGAGGGTGGGGGGGGGGGGCGATTTGGCGTAAGGAGATTGCAAATAGAATCATAAGGTCCTTGGCTGAGCCTCGACCCACTATGACGCGGCTGGCTCTCACTGGCTCGACCCGGTGTCTGGTTAGCGTCTATAGTGTCGCATGGTTGTACCACCGCCACATTATGGGACCATTTACTCTTCTTGGGTACAACAGTTGGAACACTGGTACTGCCGTGTGAGCGAAAGCAGGCTGAATCCCAAAAAGTACCAACAGCTTTGCTCTGTCACATCAAGTCTTTTTCTCTAAGGCATGACAACTGTTTTGCGGTATGCAATTGAATTTGCCCTATTAGTAACACGTACGAACCTTGCTCAGAACAATAAAAAGATAAAATGAGAGACACCAAAATGTTTTATTATTCATATAATAATAACAGATTGTGTCGCATTTTTACACTGCAAATTTGCTCTCCGCGGCAAGCTCTGTGCGCTTTACAATCTAAACTATAACCCCAGCAAGCAGACCTGATAGCACACTGAAACAATCTCAACTTCATGGAAAACACATAACGCAAACTGCCGTTTATAGGCGCTAAAACACTAATATGCTGACAAGATTTTTTGCTGTCTATAGCTTGGTACCCATTCCCACTTGGGTGAAGTGAGGAAAATTCGTGTAAGGTGCCTTTCCCAAGCAGATAGCTATTTTTTCATTAAACTCGAGACATATGAACAAGCTTTAAGATACTCCCATCAACTCCGTATGCCCCAAAACTGACGAGTGCCTGATTCCACCGTATCGATATAACATAAATATAATCTATACTTTTTCCGTTACCTTGGACCTTGTGACGGAGGAGTCCAGGTCCTAATTAGGAGATGTTTGGGGTCCAAAGGTCTCTAAGCAGGGGTTCAAGCCTCAGTGAGAAGTTAAGAACAGATATTGGATGTCCGGTAGTGGCGACTAAGTGGAGCGTGAGGGGGTCGTTATGTGCAGCCAGGTGTTGAGCAGACTCTAACATCTCAGCAAAGAAGTTGGGAGAAAACAAAGTGTGAGCCGGATCCTGTTCACTGCTGTCTTCCCGCTTTCATTTCGACATGGACATCGTGTTGTGTGTTTTGTCTGGTGTGGAGGAGCACGAACTTTGCAGAGTATTGTCCCGACCGTGTAAAAACATTATGGGCGGTACAGGGGGGCATATGCCCCCTGTTTAACACATAATTTGATATTTTGCAGTCAGATTTGAAGTTTTCTTGAAAATAATTGATTTGTGACAGTTTTAGTGGCTATATGTGATATGCACCGAACAACACGTTGTTTGACCCCCAAAGCAGTTCCTGGGTACTAGACCACCAAGTTGATTAAAAATTATGTCTGTACGTCTCGGAATATCTTCTGCCCGAACTTTGGCGGGGAATCTGTCTTCTCTAACAACGAGGAAGCACTTGCAAGAAATTCGTTCGAAGTGATTGCATATGCTTGGCCTCAAGAGTTTGCCGCTCGAAGATGCCTCGGGTCAGAAAGATTGTCGCTCGTTCGCTGGGAGACTTGGAAAAGGGTTAAGACGCTCCTAGTAAAGAAGCTATAGTTGTGAGGAAGCCTTCACTGTTTTCAGGATGTAGCCAGGTGGGTGATTTGGTTTGTTTCAAATGAGAATGTACCAAGACAAATCTCCAATCGAGAAATTCTCTAACTTAAAGGAGTTCTGTTCCATAGAGTGATCTTTCAGTTCTGGAGCGAGATGTTTTGGAGTGTTGTTCCAACTGTTGGGTTTGTCAGAATCCCCAGATAAGACTCATTGGATCTGAACCCACAAAGTTTGAAGACTTTTTATCTGTCTCTGAGAAAGCTGGCTAGTTTCAGGACGGAAATTGTGTTGCCTAATCCATTAGTCACACGCCAAAGGGCTAGAACTCAAATGGCCGCTGGATTGGAAAAGTAAAGTAAAGTAAAAGTTGAGGAATCAATCGACCCTCCATAACCGTTTTCCCCTCGTCTCGTTATT